GCCGCTCCAGGGGCAGGTGCAGGTGTTCAATCCATCGCCAGCCTCGCGCATTTTGTCCACTGCTAGGCAACGGTTTCGAGTTGTAGACATGGTAGAGGTGCGGCTGAGGTTTGTTCAGGGTGTGTTGAGGTCAAGGCTTGAAAGCTTCGAGATTCTCGGGATTTGAGGGCTTAGGGTTTTGCCGGCGGAAGCCGAGTCCTGACAGGGCTTTCACGGCTTGATTTCGGCGGAACAGCGAAGTCCTGCCCTAATTCCTCCATAGAATTCATGCCCATGCACGCGCGCGGCACTCAAAGAACCAGGAGGGAACTTGACTCTAGGCTTTTGGAAGGGCTTACGCTTCTTGGAATCCTAAACCCTAAACCCTAAACCCTAAACCCCTAAACCCCTAAACCCTAAACTTTAGGCACTCGCTTCAAAAAGGGGCAAGGGCTTCTCCCCAAAAGGAGCTCTCAGCACCAGCGCCGGAAAGGCGCTAAGATACCCAAGATCGCCCGAACTTCCTTGACAGTCTGATCTACTGCTGTGATATACCGTGGATGATATAAAACCCTGCATTTCCCATAATGCGGAATATACCTTCATTCCCATAGTTTAGGGTCCTTAAGGCAATGCAGGAGTTATATCATCAACCGTATGTCATAATTGAGCCTCTTGGCCCCTCAACCCATGTCGATACCAACACGCGGTGACTTCGAGCAAGTCAGGTTGGAATTGGAACTTGGGTGTAGCAGGTCTCCTAAACCCTACACCCTAAACCCTAAACCCTAAACCCTAAACCCTGAACCCTAAACCCGCAGGTCTCCTTTCCCTTAGAAGGCCACAGCAAAAGTACATTCTAAGGATGGCAAAAAGAGTCTTTTAGATCTATTCGGGGTATACCTTAAGAACCCTAAACCTACTTTTTTGTAGGGTCCCTATAAATCCCATTTTAGGGTTTATAATAAGAGCCTACAAAAAAGTGGGTTTTGGGTTCTTAAGGTAGAATTATTCTCTGGATCCAAGCCCAAAGTCCTAGGCGACAAACTGTGAGATCAAGCAGCTGGAAACTGAATCATCGGCGTGCAGCGATCACCTTGGAGGCAGGTTGAATGTATGAACTAAGAAGGGTAGCCAAACTTACAAGTGCCTCGTGAACGTGCACGCAACTACTAATGACGCATATGAAGCTCTGCAAGCCGTGCCTGGGCACACCCCCATGTGGAACTGAAATGGTGGCTGATAACAGCGAGGCAACATGAGAAACGAGCGTAAGGATGCCATCCTAGGCGGCATCCAATCTCTGCATGCGCACAAGAATAGATGAGGTCTCCGCACGCACATACGTGTGTATCGCGTACACGTAGAAAATCCATGCCATCACATGAGTATATAAACCCATGTATGTGTATGTATATAAATGCATATTGCCAGAAGAGACCTATAGTACATACCTACCCAAAGCCTGAAGTGCGCGGGTGAAACACTAAAGCTGGCTAAAGTAGGAGTTTCAGCCGCCCACACCCCCTCTTAGAGGCCTGGAGTAGTGGTAGAACTCTCACCCTCGATGCAACCTTGCTGTGTCTCATCCCTCGCAAATCTCAGAAGATCGAAATACCACGTCAGAAAAAGCCAAAACCATACACCTTAAACTCGCAAAGCCGCCAAAACCCTTACCCTTGATCATCGGACCCGAAACCCTAAACCCTAAACCCTGAGCCCTAAGCCCTAAGCCCTAAGCCCTAAACCCTAAACCCTAAACCCTAAACCCTAAACCGGAACGGCCTGGGAGAAACATCGGAGGGCAGGCCATCAGCGTGCAAGCAGACCTGCGAGAAGATAGAGGGGTTTCCGAAAATTAGGGTACCTTATTTTGGGGTCCTTATAAAAAGGATCCTATTATTTAGGGTACTATATTAGGGTCCCCTATTTTCGGAAACTCCCATAGAGTCGGGTTTGGAGGTACTGCTGATGGACAAAATTCTGCATGACCCAAATAAAGTATAGTACCATAAATCTCATAGTTTAGGTACACAAATCCCATAGTTCAGGTATATAAGTTCATGCAGGATTTTGTCCATCAACCGTATCTTGTATCTAAACCCTGAACCCTGTAGTACAGGTACATTTCAGGAACTTTAGGGAATAGTACTCCTGTTCCTGATCAGACTCAAGTAAGGAATAGTACCGTTGGTGTTTATTCAGGCTTCTATGCTAAGGCGCGTTATCGCGGGCTTAGCCTGCAAGGGGCTTCGGCTGAAATGAGGTGGGGCCCGAGCGACTTCAGGTTACAGCACGAAGGCTCTGATCACGACAAGGCGATGAAGGCTTGGTTTCTGGCAACCAAATACCAACCAAGCTTGGGATGGAATTCTGGGCTTGAAGGTGTAAATTGTGTTAAAGGAAGCTACAGGTGGGGAGTTTAGGGTATACAGGGCTTCTATATAGACCTTCTATAAGGCTCCTATAACGATAACTACCCACCTGAACATGTCCTAGACTGTGGTTCTCCCCCACATCACAACTCGGAGAATACCAAAGCCACGTCCGTCCCAGAACCCGAGACCCCTGTGCACTCGGGTTTAGGGTTTAGGGTTTATCTCGCAGAACATCGACATGAAGTAACATAAGCCTTTAATAATTAGAATAGGGCCTTGGGGTCCATTATCCTATACTTATAATCAGGAACCCCCCAAATAGTAGTGGCAATTATTTAGGCCCCTATATTACTCGCTGCGGCTTGCGTGTCTGATTCGAAGAGCCTTGTAGGGGAAAGCTGCTGAGGCCTTTGGTTGGGTGGTACGACGTCGAATCAACGGGCAGCCTGGAATGCCAATGGCTCTGAGCCCCACCGCCTAGATGTACCGATGGTATTACAAACGTGGCTCCAACATCCACCCCCATAAGAGGATCCCGGGGCCTTCTTTATCAGATCAGCCTGCAGAACCTAAACCCTAAACCCCAAACCCCAAACCCCAAACCCTAAACCCTAAACTACTAAACCGAAACCCAAGGATTGAAAACTCAGCGGCTTGTTTCGCCAGCCATCGGCGCCGCAGCGGCAGGTATTGCAACCTTGTGGGGCTTCCCGTTCATTACGCCCTACGCCCTACTTAGCCCTAGAATCCAGTTGAAACCGTACCTCTCAGTCTCAGACCTTGAAAAGCCCGAAAAGCCTAAAACCTAAAGCTGCAGGCCTGACCCCAAATGCCAAAACAATTCAAAAGCTGGACGCCCTAAAGCCCGAACTTCTTCTCCTAACGGCGGAGGTATGTGCGGGCGCAAGAAACGACTAGTCGATAGCGCCAGCGGTCGTCAATATCAGGCAGAACCAGGACCCTCCTTGCACCCTCAAATAGGGGTGTATGGTCCCAAGCAATGGGCATGTAGGGTCGAATCGAGGGTAGATGGAGGGTCTAGGAACAATTCTATGACTCTGTGACGATATTGAGCTCTGGGGAAAAATACCAAGGACCCGGCTTGATGCTGGGATCGGTCTTCCCAAGGGTGATCAGCAAGTAGGCCTCTTTTTAGGCAGGTCTTTTAAAGGGAGCATGCTTAATGTAGGGGCCTTTATAATTAAGCAAGAGTGTTAATTTTAGGGCCCATTATACTATAATTGTAACAAGGAACCCCCAAAATAATATAGGTAATGATTACCTAGACCCTCCATCTACCCTCGATTCGACCCTAAATGCTCATTATTTGGGACCATATACCCCTATTGGAGGGTACAAGGAGGGTCCTGGCAGGTCTAGGGATGTCTGGAGAATATTGGTTTGGGATTAGCCTCAAACTCCCAAACCACACCATTGTTTACGCTTCCTGGGCGTTCTGGAATGATTTGCGGGCCTTGGTGAGGGCCAGGTATACAAATTAACCGCTTCAATTTGGACTCTCGACCCACGTGGAGAAGTGATTGTCGGAATGCATGCTGGGGATGTCGCACTGTAGCCCTGATTGCAACCATACCTATAGTCTCCATTCCTCTCTTTGGTTTAGCCAGTTATATATTAAGGATTTAATGAGGTATCCCCCAAAAGGAACTACAATGGAGACTACATGTACCTCCTATCATGCTGACAACTACGAACAACGTACAGCGAATTCCAATCTGCGTCTCCATTGGTTAGGAATAACGCCGATCGAAGGGCTGATAGAACCCCGAACCAGTAACAACCCCTAAGCCATCCTAAGCCCTAGATCCCAGGACTTGCAGGTTAAGGATCCAATATAGGAGCCTGGCTTTAGGGTTTAGGGTTTAGGGTTTAGGGTTTAGGGAACGCTGCTTTAGCTAGCCAGGCCCTGATGCTCCCTGACATTTGGGGGTTTCCGAAAATAGGGGACCCTAATATAGGACCCTAAATAGTAGGATCCTTATTATAAGGACCCCTAAATAAGGTGCCCCTAATTTTCAGAAGCCCCCATTTCTGTATAAAGCCTGACATGCTCTCACAAAAACTTGTAAAGATCCCAAATGCAGTCAGAGAGTCCTCGCCTCTTTTTCCGCTATGGGCACCACCCAACCCCCAAAAAATTACTTTATACATATATATATATATATGAATTTTATATATATATATATACATATATATATATATATATGTATATATATATATACATATATTTATTTATTTATTTATTTATCCCAACAAAGAATAAAAGGCGACGGGGGTCTCAGAGAATTTGGTTCAGGGTTTGGGTTCCTTTCCCAGACTGCAAGATGCCAACAAGGAGATTCTGGTGCGTAGGGTTTATAGGGTTTATAGGGTTTAGGGCTTATAGGGTTTATAGGGTTTATAGGGTTTATAGGGTTTATAGGGTTTATAGGGTTTATAGGGTTTAGGGGTTCAACATGGGTGGTTCTCCGATGATGAGGGTCACGCTTTTTGGGTCCAGAAGATGGTAGGGCACCCTTTTCAACGGGACGTATTTTTTGGAGAACTATACCCACATGCACGTCACTTTTCTGTGGCTTCCGGCCTCGTTGGGCCGCGACCTGTAGGTGAAATTGCAGCTGCTCATGGTTGAAGGCTATCCTCATCGCCGGCCTCCGGTTGGTCTCCAGCCTTCTTCAAAGCCTGAATTACACTCAGGTGGCCGCCAACTTTAGCCAAGCTGAGGGCCGTGAAGCCATAGAAATTCCGGGCCTGCACCTGGGGGTTTCCGAAAATAGGGGACCCTCATATAGTACCCTAAACAATGGGATCCTTATTATAAGGACCCCCCAAAGTAAGGTACCCCTAATTTTTGGGAAACTCCCACCTCAGCTCTTTCCTTCAGCAAGGCCTCGGCCACCTTCAGGTGGCCTTGACGAGCAGCTTTCATGAGGGCTGTGTCACCATGCGCATTACGGAGCTCCAGCTGGGCCCCGGCCTTCAAGAGCACTGAGACCAAATTCATGTGGCCTGTCCTAGCAGCTGTGATGAGGGCTGTGCTGCCGTCGGCGCTGGCGGCATCCGGCTGGGCTCCAGCCTTCACCAACGCCTGGACCACCTGCAAGTGGCCTTCAGATGCAGCTTTCATGAAGGCTGTGCTGCCTCCAATATCTGCGTGCTCCAGCTGAGCTCCAGCCTTCACCAACACCTCGACCACATTCAGGTGGCCTTTCCTTGCTGCATTCATGAGAGCTGTGATGCCAAACTCACTGTATGCCTCCAGCTTGGCCCCGGCCGTCAGCAACGCCTCGACCACCTTGAGGTAGCCCCTGTCGGCAGCCCAGATCAGGGCTGTGTTGCCGGCTTCATCACAAGCCTCCAGCTGCGCACCAGCATTCAGCAACGGCTGGACCACCTCCTGGTGTCCCGTGTTTGCAGCGTAGATGAGGGCTGTAAAGCCGAGCCTGTCCGGAGCATTTGGATCAGCATTCTCATGGAGCAGTTGCTTCACGCGCAGTTGCCTCGCCGCTGCGTCGAGCACCGGAATCCCCTGCTCTGCCTCCCTTACTTGGCCTTGCAGGTCTTTGATCCGAGCAAGTATCGGTGCCCTTGCGGCTTTCACCTGGGTGGTTGTCAAAATTATGGCCCCTTTTTGGGGCCTTATTATAATACGGCACCTATTATTTAGGGTACCCCAAAAGGGACCATGATTTTGACAGCTACCCACCTCGGCAATGCTGCGCTTTCGCACCAGCGCATGCATCAGCCGGAGGCTCACGCCCGCATCATCGGTGCTGAGCCCGGCAACGGCGCGGACGCTAACCCCAAGATGAGGACTTACGACCTCGAAGGGAGCGGGTGTGGTCGGATCCACGGTTTTTGGGGGGTTTGGGGTGTGAGGTTTCAGGAGCATGGGGTTCGATTCTATGTATGATTATACTGTAGTCTATACTCATAATTGCTCATAGCTCCGACAAAGGTGCTCATAATCCTATATACCTACTACCTATAGTCTCGATTGTAGTTCCTTGTTGGGGTTACCTTATGGGATAATATCTCCCAAACCCTAACCCCTAAACCCTATATCTCCCAAACCCTAAACCCTAAACCCTAAACCCTATAAACCCTATTTATAAATATACAGGCCCCGATATGACTCAGGCAGACCTGGCGGAGCTCCTGGTCCTTTCGGTCCTGCGCCTCCTTGGCCTCCAAAAGAAAGGGAGATGAGCCCAAAACTTCGAACTAAATGGGTATAGTGCTCTAAACTGGGGTCCCTCTTTAAGTCCCCAATATAGTACGGCACCCTTATAACAAGGACCCGAAAAGGCACCCTAGTTTAGAAAACTGCCTAAGATTTAAAAGAGACAAGAAAAAGGCAGATCAGAGTCCCTTAAAGGGCCTAGGGAGGAAAGCGCACACGGGTTTGATGTTTTGGGCTTTGGGTTTTGGGTTTTACCAGAGTCCTTTGGAATTCAACGCTGCCTTGACTAGCTTCTCCACATGCTCTGCCAAGGCATCGTCAAGGCTGCAAGCGCCCGAGCAGTCGATGCACTGCCACTGCAGCCGCGACCTCCTTGCAAAGGCTTCTGCGCTCCAATGCTTCATTGACT